GGCTAGTACAATTATTGCGCATGTCCAACTGTCGTCTGACGCACCACACCTTAGTTGCAGTTGCGGATCCAGGTTGTAGGAAATCTCGTGGTTAAAAGATGACAGAAACGAGGCATAGAGAAGTGCATATAGCGATTAAGTCGAGTAGGCGTCCCCATATTTCAAGCTGGGGTACGAAAGATTGCGTCTGGTTGTTTGGAAATGCTGAACGACATGGCAACTAACAGGCAGCAATGGCGATCTTGTCAATTATCAGGTCAGAATACTTGAAAAGGTATTTATGCACGGTTAGGTTGTATACTCTATGTTGACCGTAGAGGTTCACTTTCTTTACCTCCCGGTTTTGTCCAATCCCTCTCCATCTTTTACATTCCCACTCTCTGTGTATTGTAAACTTAGCAGCGATCAGTAAAGTTGGCGTTATCGCATTTCGCTGTACGATGACGAGCCATACGCGTATCCTTTTTCTCATAAAATGCCTACAAAATTGCCAAGTCGATCTCGATTTCTCTTTGGGCTTCCAATCTTTTCTATACTCAGGTCTTCAGATGGAATGGCCCTATGGTGTGGAATCACCACCGCATCCTGAGAGTGGCCGCCCGTGGGATGTCGACGCGCGCTGGCTTTTGTACTCCGAGGAATATAATGAGTGGATGGTTGAGGAAGATTTTCTGCTCCCAGCTGGTGGCTTGCGTCCAAGAGCATCATATACTCGTAAGTACTATCACACAATTATGTGTGGGTCGGGGTCCATAGGTTGACTGCCATGGGCATTTGGGTTCTCATGCTTGTTCACCTTCGTCTTCGTTAACAGCTTTTGTTCATAACATGTTCAGTATTTGCGGTCATCTGGTTTTTTCGATCTGCGGCTGTCCGTTGGATGATAGCAATAAGGTCTACTGAACTTGCAAAGCTGAGGACCATATCCCTCATATTCTTGATTTCAGAGACACATTAAGCCTTTGGGTGGTGGAATGCTCTGTCATATCTTCGGTCAACGCGTTATCGGGCTGAAAAGATGCTATTCCACTCATTATCCGTGTGATGAACAGCATGGTAAAACGTTCGCGCGTTTTTATATTGACAGTTGCAGTTTGGCTACCGTTAATTATTGCTTACGTGGGTGGTGATACAGTGGTTCAGTCGCTGTCACCGGCGTGCTTTGGTCACTGATATGAGGTTCCAAACCCACCACTCGACTTATGCGGTAGGCGGCTTTGCTGTTGTCCGGTTCAATGCCTTACCTGGCAGGGTAGCGTGTGGTTCGCCACTTTACGTCTCAGAGCTTGGTTTGCGGGTCTTCGTGAGTATGAGGTCCACCATGTCTACTGTTCATCGCACAAATGTTCCATAAAAACTGCAGAAAATCGACATTAGGCAATACTTGATCATCTGCTGTTGTTTCGAATGAAATACACGTTTTTTGTCATTTGATTGCATATCCAATTTACATACATTTCCTAGTTGATAATGAATTTGAGTTTAACTGCATCAAAACTGAACTAATAATTTTCCGTGAATGAAGGTAAGAGGAACAAATAAATTCACTTTTAGCGTACAATATATATGTGCATAGGTCTTACTAGAATGGTCCCTTGAAAAATACACGGAGTTATTGTAGCTCCACTTAGGTTTAGGTCGCCCGAAATGAGAAGAGAATCTAAGGTTGCTGGTAAAGTGTGCATGAATAGTCTATCCCCGCCTGCTTTTCACCACATTGGTACATATTGGTTGGAAAGGTGGTTGCACTCGGATGTATGCAGTTTTGCTGCTGTTGAGCTTGCTTATTAATCCAATTAGGGCCTCGTTTAGTTCACCAATTCAAGTTCCAGAATTTAGGTTTCCATTGTGTAACGGAACGTTCTCGTGGTTGTTTTTGTGTTGGTTATCCAACAGATCAATGTGAAAGGGATAGCTTACATTCTCTAAGGATTTGGTTTGCACAAAATGTCAGTCGGCATGCTGTTTACCTAATTTCACTATTACAGCTAATTCCATTGATTAGGCAGTTTTATTAGAGAAGTTTCCAGCTGAACTTAGCTTTTTATCTAACCTTTGTGCAACTGAATCGGGACTGCAATGCATGGGACTCATTAGGAGCTGGTTCGTCATTCACCTAATGTCTACTCAGTACGTGGATCAATATGCCGCCCATATCGCTCGGGACTTGACAGGTTTTCTTTGTGACCACAAAATCAAGCGATAGATGTTCATCCACTCAGAAATAGCCATTTTTGCCTGCGGTGCGTCTCGTCAAGGTTGCTCCCCCCGTCTAGTGACCTCGCGGTGTATCTTTGATATATGCCTCCGCTCATTGATGCCACAAAGTTAGATTAGAAATGGAAACTTAAGAGATGGGACTATAGTCTGGCGAGTAAAATGCTTTTTCTTTCAGATATCCCTCGCACCTTACACTCACTGGCCCTATTTAGAAGCAAAAAATATCAGGCAAATGTAGATCATGAATGAGCGTGTCATAATTTTGAATTTCTGGGAGAAACTATGCTTAAGTCGGAAGTGCGAGAGGCGAACATCTTGCCGCAGGTCAGGCGAATGAGCAAAGGGAGAGTTGGAGACAGTGAACAGAAGCCGTACACACGTACAGAGAATCAATTATTTTTTGTTAGGGCTGTTAATGATATATAGGAATTCAGTGTTGGATCATCACTGAGATCGATAGCCTTACATTGAACGAGATGGAGTAGAGATTTACAAAATAGATGTGGTACCACCGCAAACGTGAATACAGTTCTAAAAACTAGGTTTTTTGAGGGGTACGAAGTTATTTCTAGAGAAAAACAATGTTTTTGGTCGCGCATGAAGAGGAGAAATCAGAGCTGTATTTTACCGAGCGCGTCCCCAGGTCGCGGATAGGGTAACGACCGTCAACTCGCGGCCAACCGTGAATAAGGTGGGCTCCGGTCCCCCCAATAAGCGGTCGCGGACGATCAGCGGCAACGCTCGAGGATGTGGTGGGTTTACTT